ATAATAATAAAAGGAAAGCACCTGATGCTAGATCTACCAGCTATCAGTGGTCCTTCCAGCTCATTTACTTGGATGTAACATTTGCGAGAATATCTGCAGAAAGTGTTGATCTACATAGCTTTATATGCTTCAGGATTGTTTTCAAAGTATATGTATTCCATGATGGTTCTTTCTAGAGTAAGTAACACTACGTAACCAGTTTAGTGAATATTCCATTTGATCTACTTAAATTGGTTGGCCACTCAGCAAGTTACTTAATTTCACACTCTATTTCCTCATCTGTATTATAGTACACCACAGGCATTTCAAGTATAACTTAAATTTTTTTTTAAAGCTTCAGAATGTGTAATAAGCCACATATTTTTCTTGAACATTTTCTTTCCTCTGCGGTTCTGGCATCCCCTTAGTTAGCCATACTCCATTTATAATGATCCAGTTGAATACAGCTAAAACCCATCATATCACTAAATTTCAAATAACCAAAATTCATCTCTGAAAAATATTCTGGAATGTTTTTCTGATGGCAGGAGGCAGATTTAAATTATTCATGTTGTTGCAATACATGTTAAAGCCAATGGTTTTTAAATCTAGTTCTCTCTCCTCTTTTTACTATTCCTACCTTTCTATAGAATATATGCATAAGATTTAATGTGTTCAATTAAAGTTGTAATACAAAATAAAGTCTCCAAAATGCTTAGGTTCACTTAAAAATTAGTATAAAACTTCATGCGTGGGGAGGTATTCCCCGGACTCTTCCAGATGGGGAATTACGTTGGATTTGATTTCCGTATGGTTTTATGGTTTCCTTGGAGTGAGTCAGGTGCCGTGGGAGCTCTGACAACAACGCAAGGAGTGATGGGAAAGTTCTGTCATTTCAAGGAGCAGAAGGGAGCAGTATTCACTGGGGAGGTCTTCCATTAGGATAGGGAGTGTTTGACCAACAGTTCCAAGTACTGATGGGAAAAGGAGGTGTGAAAATTAAATCTGGCACCAGAAACTCTCTTGAAAACCAACCTATAAGTTGGGATGGACCTACGTGCATCTCTGAACAAGGGCATGCCTCTTGTTCTGTCCTACTTGGGAGTTTGTATCTAGTTCCAGCTCTCATCTGCCACAAAGAAACGTTGCTCAGGTCAATGCTCCTACAATTCCTTGTAGAGACGTAACATTGGCCTTCACTGGTGATTGTACCCATGAAGCATTTATCTTTTCCATCAAAGAATAAAAGATAATGTTCCTGATCTTGATTATCCTGTGTTCTGAATTAAAAAAAAAAATCCCTCCGGAAGATGCCTGGCTTCAAATCACCAGCTAATGTGAAATTCTCAAGAATTTTGTTATGATAGAAAAATGTTAAATTGTACTAAAGTATTCAGAATAGCTTCTTTATTCTCCCTGGTATTTTCATGGCAGAAGATATACGTTTTTTTTCTCCTCCAAGGAAACGTGTAGTAATTGTACCCCAGAAGCCTACATTCTAATTGTATTAGATAGACTATATCTCTAGTATTGTCATTCCATTAGAGAATTTGCAATAAATCTTAATGATACATGCAAATACACCAATCTAATGGTCCATTATAAAAGAAATGACTAACTTACCATTTGTTTCCAGCAATTTATATGATCTCTCACCTCCTGATGGTAAAGAGTTCCAGAAGGCAGGAAACTCAATTTTTTTTTTTTAAACAGCAAGGCAGATCAGAGTGAAAAGGGAAGACTAAGAAAAAGTGTTGTTCTTTTCTTGTATCTGCATTAAGATTTTTATGGACTTTCGAACTTGGCATAATTCTGAGCTTTTTGATTTGAAAACCACCTAAAAGTAGTTATGTAGAGATGTTTTCCTTGCTTGTCATTCTTTTTGATCTCCTTCTCAGTGGAGTTATTTATACACTGAGTGCAGAAAAACAGAGAGGATTGTGTAAAAATCAGGTCAGAGAGGAAAAAAAACTTTTGAAAGGGTTTCCTTCTTCTAAGAAATCAATGGAATCATCTACCCTCTTCTGTCTCTAGGATATTGAATCATCTTCCAACTGAGAGATCTTAACTCCTTCTTAGTAGATACGATTTGATGTGTGTATATGATGCCGGAGTTTGGTAGAGAGTCACTTATGATAGCAAGTTATAAAATCCTGGGCAGAGTCCATGTCTTATTCATCTGTGCAGTCTCCAGACCTAGCACACTATAGAGCTCCAATTGAACTCAATTTGTCAAATTGAATCCAGTAAGCCAAACCAATAGGTCAACCCCTTATCACAACCTTTATCCCTTAATACCTGTGATAACATATGGCAGGCAGGATGACTCTGTTGGCAGGAAGTAATAGATACCTACTCAAAGAAATATATGCTGGGGATGAGGATGGAGACGAGGGGACACATAAAAAAGTCAGCAAATTTCATGGTCGTTCCAATGTACCACACAGAAGGACCACAGAGGGAAAGGTTTGGGATTGTATTGGTTAGTCATAATAATAAAGGTAGTTTGGAAAGCACCTGACGCTAGCTACACCAGCTATTTGTAGTCATTCCAGTTCATCTACTTGGATGTAACATTTGTGAAAATATCTGTGGAAAGCATTGATCCACATAACTACAGCAAAATAAGGGCTACACCGTCTCTGCTCCCCTCTCTTCTGTTCGCAAACTGGCTCTCTTGGCTGCCCCATAAACAAGGCAGGAGATGGCTGTTCCTGTCATTTCTGAATTTACATCTCCTTTGTTCAAATGACCAGTGGAGACTGATTTGTGATTTTGATCCCAGATCCCAATTCTCAGAAGAGAGAAATGAGTCTGCTCAGCTTGAGTTAGTTTCTATCCCTGGCTCAATATTTAAGGGCTGCGGGATACCTTAGGCAGTTTATAAATATGACTCAGGGACCACTCTTCTCTGGGAGAGCAGTTCTCAGAAAGGGGAGCTGGTGGGCCGGGCAGATAGCCTAGAACGCCCCTAATACAATGAAAAAAACAAAAACAATGAAAATTTACTTTTGCCCAGAGAGGAAAGAAAGTCCAAAGTGAATAGCTATATGGACAAGGCAACCTATAAACAATATGTGCAGATTTATGGAAGTCAGTTGAATTGGATCAATGGCTCTCATAAATATAATCCATTCATCTGGTAGCACAGGAAAAATCTCATCAGTCTTTTTCAATGAAAACTTTTCTTTTCAGAACCAAACCCAGGAAATGACTGGATTGACAAAGTGACAAAGAATACCCGCCCAGTATTCATCCCCTTCCTCTGTGAAAACAGTTGGGGCATTTTTCTGCACAGCTAAAAGAATACATATCCCAGCCTACTGTGTAGCAAAGTGTTGCCAATGAGTTGTGTGCTGAAATCGTCTGCATACAGTGGGACTTCCCAGCAAAAGTTTTTTGGTTTTTTTTTTTTCAAATGGGTGCATAGCTAGCATATATCCTTTACGTTTTCCACTTCTCCTTCATCCTGACTTGAATACAGATATGATGGCTGGATCCCCAGCATCCATTATAGAACTTGAGATGACCTTGAGGATGGTAGTCATGCACTAAGAATGAAGGAACAGAAATATAGTAGGTGGTTGGATCCAGGATGACACCATGGAGCTATCATTACTATCTGCACTGCTTAGCTACAGAATTCTTTTATATGAGAGGGAAATAAACCTCTGTCTTGGTTAAACTATTTTTTTTTTTCTGCTTTGTCTCCCCAACCTCCCCCCCCGTACATAGTTGTATATCTTAGTTGCAGGTCCCTCTAGTTGTGGGATGCTGCCTCAACGTGGCCTGACGAGCGTTGCCATGTCCGCGCCCAGGATCCGAACCCTGGGCCGCTGCGGCAGAGCGCTCGAACTTAATCACTCGGCCACGGAGCCGGCCCCGGTTAAACTATTTTTATCTCCAGTCTCCATCACTAGCAGCTGAATGTAAATCCTAACTGGTTAAGGAGTCTCTATTCAATGGGGGAGCATTATGCGATTGACTGATGGTGACTGATAAGAACAAAATTTATGACAAGACTCATCACTGAGACTGGTTTGTTCTGGTTTTGACCCTTTATGTTTTCATAGTGGCTAAAATCTATTAAGCCAAAATGATATGTAGACAAGATGGTTAAACTCATGTCACCTTTGAAAAAATGCTCTGTAGAGGCTGTGGGAATGTGCTTTGAAGAACTGCAGGGAGCGTAATTGACTGAGGCCCCAGCTGCTGGGGCTTTGGGCGTAAAAAGGAAGAAAAAAGGAGGAAGATTGGCAACAGATGTTAGCTTAGGGAGAATCTTCGCCTGCAAAAAATAAAAATAAAAAAAGAAATAATCACCTATGACTAATTTTTAATGGAGGTGTTTGGTAGCGAGCTGAGCTCAGACGCCTGAGATACTGTGAAGAATGAGGAATGAGATAATGTAGTCCTTTTCCTGCTAGCTCATAATTTGGTTGGAAATATGAGAAAGTGAAAGAGGCTCTGCCCTACACGACGTTCAGGAGACAAGGCTGTCCTAGCTCTGCCATCTTCCACATGTGGGAGGAAAGAGGATAGAGGATTCCATGGGAGCATTTTATAGGCCAGGCATGGATGTAGGGTATGTGACTTCCTGCCTACATGCCATTGGCCAGAAGTCTGTCACATAGGAGGCTGGGAAATGTAGTCTACCTGAGAGCCAAGGAGGAAATGGAAATAGGTTTGGGGAACAGTTACTTAGTCAGTTCCTACCCCAGCCACATAGAAGAGGAAACAGAAGGAACAATGGGGCCTTGGTCTCCTCAACAAGAGGAGTTTCTTTTTACAAGGAAATTTCCATATAGTGCTTTCTCTTGATCAATACTCTGGCTGCATCACTTCATTAGAAAGTATAAATTTATAAGGGGATATAGAATATAATTAGATGTTTTATGGTAGTTAAACTATCTTAACACTACTTAATTTACTTGGAGATTTGTTATGCAATCAAGTATTCCCAGACTACTTTGAACAGATTGCAAAGCTGCCTGATCAAAATTCTCATTTCTTATTTATAGGCAGATTATAGTTCAGATCCAGATGTTGAATGGGAGAGCAGGTAAGAAATTTTATCTTCTGCTTCATAGGCATGTCAAGTGAAAAGATGAATTGTATTTTCTTCTTAAATACAAAAATAGATGGTTATGAATTGGACCCTGAATGAAAATATACTTAGGATCGAATAAAATTTCTATGAATTTAGATACAGCAAGGCTATTTTATAAATTCAAAATAAGACTATTTCAATATGATATTAATGCTCTGTACTAAACATCACTCCAAGATGCAAATTTCATTTTTAGCAGTGGATCAAATCAAATCAACACTTTACTTTGAATATTGCCAACTTTGGGGGTAGAGTCGGGTGGGGAAAGGAACATGTGTAAAATGTTCTCAAGAACATTTCATTTAACATCTGCCTAGACTGTCAGCATATATTTTTCCAACTTGTATTAGCTATTTGGCAATTCCAGCTGCTTGGCAACAGTTGTAGGTTACCAGTTTCTCCAGATTGCTAACTACTGTGTTAGACCACACAAAGTCAGAATTAGATTAAAAATAACATTTGCAAAAAGATAGCGGAGTAACTGAAAACATCACTTTTTAGTTTGTTCCACAATACCTGCAGTTAAAGAAATTCTCTTGCTAGTAACACTTTATGAATTCAGCACTTTAAATTCAGAAAAGATCTTAAAGGTCAACTAGTCCAACCTTTTCATTTCACAGCTGAGAGAACTGAACCTCAAAAAAACCGAAGATTACGTAGTTAATTAGTTACATGGCCAGGTTTAGAAGCCAAGTTCATCCATCTGTCCATCCATTCATTCATCCATCCATCCACCTACCTATCGAACCAACAAATATTTATTGAGTGCCCACTGTCCAGACACTTGCTTGATGCTGAGGATACAGTGGTGAAAAAAATCAGACATGGTTTCCATTCTTGTGGAAGAGGTAAACACTAGTCAAATGGTTATGTTAATATACTACCACGAAGGAGAACTACACTCTGTATTGACAGCATATAACAGGGGCTGACCTTATCTGGTAGGTAGGGATGGCAAGGAGGTCTTACTTTAGGTTGTGAAGTTTAAACCAGGAGCTGAAGTTTGAGAGTGTGTTAACCAGGTGAAGAGGAGGAAGAATGCACCATGGAAACCCATGTGCTGTGATAGAAGAAGACTAACATATTCAATGAGCTTGAAATAGGCCAGTGGAGCTGGAGTGCAGAGAGCATGTGAGAACACGATTGAAGGTAGGGCTGAACGATAGGCAGAGGCTATAGGAAGAGACCATCTCTCTTCCTGGCAAGTTGATGAGAGGATGTGAGGTTTGCAGCTGAGCTGTCCTTTTACTACAATGAGGGGCAAGCCAAAGGATCAGTGTAAAAGCCCTGAGGATGGTACCAACATCGTGGAAGGCTTCTTCACTAGAAGAAACTAGTGAGAAACCAGGTCCTTTGTGGCACTGCATGAGCCACAGGGTCAAGTCTCACCTGAATAAAGAAATAATATGGGACCACTTCGTTGTGGTTTTTATGATTTGAATGAGTTTAAATCGAACTTTTTGTCATTTGTAACCAAAAATGGGAGTCAGCCAAATTAAAATGGCAACCACTGTGTACTTGATGTGATATTTGTTGGTTTTTTTAGTAATTAATGAATATGTGCTGAATTGGATGCTCATTTTCCATCACTGTGTGGATATGCAGAGTACTTTCTATGTCTGTTTAAATCCTATTCATCCTCAAAGCGTAGGTTAACCGCTCTACCTTTCGGAGGCTGAACAATCACCTACATCCTTTTTTCAACTGCTTCTGTCTTTCCTGTTGGTGCGTTAATAGTGTGACTCAATCTACGTGATCTTGTATTTTATTTTATTTATTTATTTTTTTTACAGCTACTCCCTCTGCTCCATTTTTTGTTTAAAGAACGTTCTTATATTTTAATGTCAGTGCTTCACCTGAATCTTTTTCTCCCTTGTATCTTTTCAAGTATTTCTTCTCAAATTTCGGGAGACATAAGAAGCACCTGTGAGCTTAAACGAGCAGACTCTCTCATATATCATAGGCGCACGCGTAGAGGAACACTGCACATTAGATATCATATAATATGAGTGCTCAGCGCATAATTCATGAGTTGAATTGAATTGAAAGTCCAGGAGGGATTTGATTTGGGGATTATCAGAAAAGTTTCTCCTGTAAGACTCTCAAAATGGGCACCTCCTTCGACTTGTCCCCAGTGATCTTCATAACTATGATGAGTAACAAGGTCAAAATATTGCATGCTTAAAAGGCAGCCAAAAGTTTTGATGACCTTAGCTAAAACTGGTGAGAAAAAACCAAATCTCATCCCTCAAATTCTGCATGAATAAGAATCACAATGTTTGGATTTCTGGATGAATAACAGGTGTTTCACCTACTCCTCATTTATTTTTCATTTCTGCCCAGGGACCTATACTTCCTTCACCTTTGAGCACTGGTCTAATCCCACCAATTTTTCAGTTTTTGTTCCAATGAAGCACCCTGATCAAATAGGAGGCAGTGATGTTTCTACCTGGACCACAGCTTTGTCCCAGCAACAAGTTGTTTATTTCTTCCTCTCTCCCTCTGGCCTGAGCTGAGCCCTGCCTTATCCACCCCAACGTCTGATAAATATACAGAGCCTCTTTCCTGTGTTTGCTGCAGAGAAAGACAGTCTTCCAACTTCTTCTAACCTAATATTGTTTCTTCGATATAGACACACACACTTGGCTTTTCTCAATTTCAAATATGAAAATAGACAAGCTTCACAAGGCAATGGAGAAGTTAAAACCTGTAAGAATTCTTACAAGCCCTTGTAATAAGTGTCTGTTTTAATTGCCTTCTTTTCACCCTGCTGGTGATGGAGGGATTGCCACCCTAGGGTTATGGGGGTGGCTGAACACACGACACCTGACACTGGACAGATGAGATGGACAACAGTGTATTAGTCACATACACTCACAGAATGGGGGAGGACGATACCACATGCCATGTAGGGCTCCATGGGGGTTGCATTCAGGAACAGAGTGAACAACCAGGGGCTGTGAGAGCCAGGCTTTGTGGGATCCAGAGGGTAGGTGACCCCTGGTTCCTGCGGGAGGATGTGATTGGCTCGTTTGAATAGTTCTGAAGCCTGGCGGGGAACTGAAGCCTGCGACTCAGGGATAGGCAGGAACTGTGCTTAGTCCCTGTGATGAGGAGAGTTGTTTGGCTGGAGGACCTCATCCTCCATAGCAGAGTTGGGAGAGGAACTTGAGTTAGGCCATTGGGACCCTCCCGATTTTACTAGATGTCAAGGCAGCACATACTAATTTTAGGTCTTATACAACAGAATCTCTATTCTTTTAAAAAAATCGAAGTGAGGCTGGTTTAGCTCTTTCTGACTCCTGGTTTATCCCCTCAGTGTTACTTTGGGAATAGACTCACCCAAGTGATTTTCTTTCTTTTCAGATTTTGAACCGTCACTTTCCTCTGTAAGTCTTTGGCTTGGATTAAAGTACGTCAAAGGTCCTTTGGTTTTGTGCTTGCCCTAAATTTGAGTGATTAGGTAATAACAGTGAAAATGGATTGAGTGTTTATACACTGAACTTTGAAGCTCTTTACCTCCTCTCTTAGGTTGGGTTCCTCAGAAGCGGAGCCTGAGGCAGGAAGTCAGGAGTCTGGGATGTATCCGGGAGTGCTTTTCAAGTAGAACCCCGGAGGCAGGGAGGGAAGCAGACAAGGAAAGGTGTGGGCAAAGCTGAGCAGGGAAGTGGTCTAGCTTCCTTAAAGAGAGGCTCTGAAATACAAGGCACACGTTGGAGTTATCCTTGCCCTGCAAGGAGGGGCCTCTTTTGCACCCCCATATCTGTCAGTCATTGGCTGTGGGCCTTGGGGTAGGGTAACGTCCAGGAGGAGATGGCTACGATCAGTCCAGGGCAATTCTGCAGAGAAGGTGGGCAGCCGGGGTAGCCAACATTCTCCTCAGCTGGGGGATGGGTGCTCTGGCTTGGTAAATGGGATCTAGGCAGGATGCCAATTGCATCTGCTACATATACGTCACCTCCGTTAACCTCCTCAGCAACTCTAAGAGGGAGATATTATAATTACTCTATTTTTCGGATGAGGAAATTGAGGCATAGAAAAAGCCTGGCTCAAGTTAAGCCAGTATTTCAATCCAGACAACCTGGTGCTCATTTTTAGAGCATTACAGGGGAAACATGTCTGAGAATTCCAAAGTCTCTTCTAGCTCTTCGTTTTATGTTTCTGATTTGATGCAATTCATCAAGTGTGCATCGATCACCAGTATTGTGTAGAGTTGCCTCATAGGAGCGTTTTGCTGAAGGGCCCGAGTTCCACTGCGTCCCTCTCCACTGGGGGCTTTGATGTTGAAAGATCCTTGGGCCCATTTTGTCCAACACTTCAAATTATGTAATTAACTATGCATATCTTGTTGGATTCCTTCTCAAACTGTCTGATGAGTTTGTTCTTCTTAAATAATTTCTGTGAATTATCTGCTCATAAAATATGTCTTTTAATGAGAAAATGTGACAATGGCTCTTCATTTAAGTCGGTAATTAAGGAATATCATGGTTGGGAACATTATTTCAGCTGCCAGCATTTTACCTTTTTATCCTCAAGCAAATAGCTTCAAAGAGAGAGGCAGATGACTGAGGATATTTCTGGGTAAGACTATACACTTAACCTTCCCAGATTTTTGATGCAAAAGGGACATGGCTGTGAACCATGAGTTCTCATGAAAGAGGGAGATCCATCTTCTTAGGTCTTTACCCCTTTGTTTAAAAAAGTGGGATGGGCTTCCATCAGCAGCGATCTCTGGGGAGAAGGGCAAGGTTGCGAGGTAGGTCAAGTTTGAGCCATAAATTTTCTAAATTTTTATTTGGTTTTTAGAATAGATAATACATCACATAGTTCAAAAAGATATTACAGTAAAAAGTCCCCCTCCCTCATCCTGCAGGTACTAGTTCCCTTTTGCAAAGGCAACCAGCGTTGTCAGTTTCTTGCTTATCTTTTCAGAGATGTTTTATGAATATTCAAGCAGGTACATATAAGTATTTCCTAAGATCTTTGAAAATTCAGTGGTGAGAGTAGAAGTAGAAAAATCCATGTATTCACTGCCTAGGGCTGCCATAACAAATGACCCCAAACTGGGTGACGTAAGACACTAGAAATTTATTCTCTCACATTTCTGGAGGCTGGAAGTCCAAAATCAAGGTGGCAGCAGGGCCATGCTTTCTCTCGAGGCTCCAGGGAAGAATCTTTCTCTGCCACTTCCTAGCTTCTGGTGGCTGCTGGCAATCCTTGGCGTTCCTTGGTTTGTAGACACATCACTCCAGTATCTGCCTCTGTCATCACGTGGTGTTCTCTCTGTGTCTCTGTGTCCAGATTTCCCTCTTCTCACAAAGATACCGGCCACTGTGCTAGGGCCCACCCTAATCCAGCATGACGTCATTTTAACTTGATCACATCTACAAAGACCCTCTTTCCAAATAAGGTCGTATTTACAGCTACTGGGAGTTAGGGCTTGAGCACGTCTTTTTAGGGACATAATTCTACCCGCTTCAGCCCATAAAGTTATAATTTCAAAGCTTTAAGCAGGCTTTGTAGAGAAGTAGAGTTCAATTCACCTTTGGGCTGTAGAATGGAGTTGAGAGTTCTGTTGTTTTGGGGAAAACAAATAGCCAAATAGATCTTTATCTTTCACAGAAATGAAGCAAATACCCACAGCTGTAAATGGTGATTTCTAAATTTCTGGTAACATCAAGAAACCAAGCTGTTCTGGATGAAAATGAGAGGTTACCTGTGCAGTGAAAAGTGTTTCAATTGGTGAGTTTTTTCCCCAACTTTTTTTGACTCCTGCTCATAGTAAGAAATACATCACAACCCTGAACATACAAATCTTTGAATAGACATATATGAATAGATGTAACTGAAACAGAGACTTGCTCCTGAAACATTATGTACATTTATTATTTGAAATGAATTTTGATCTTTTCTAGTCTCCCCTTTTTCATTAACTTTTTCTCAAGATCACTAATGGGTTGCCACCTGCAGTATGAATAACACTTCTAGAGATATGTTCTTCTCTAAGAAGAGGTTTATAGATTTCAGTGACTGCATGGCATTGCTTGTTCTCATAGAGGTGTTGTGGATGGCAGGATAAAGAGGAAAATTCATCTTCACTTCCCCAGGGAGGAGTGAAAAGCTGTGAAAGGGAAATGAACCCAGCTAATCACCTTGGCTCAACATAGATTGAACTGTTGGTGCCATACATGCATGTTACACAATATTATGTTAGTCAGACTTCCACAAATGTACCAATGCTGGGCTTTTGTGTTCCAATGTCTTCTTGGAGTCCTAGGACCAAGGTTAGAAATGAGGGCTGTCAACTATCTTGGAAAATCTTGGAACTGAAACAAGGTTGGGTGATGGCTTTAAGGGAGAAAGAAATGTCTCTGGGACCTCTGACTCTAAATCCCCTTCCTCACTGTGCTAGCTCTGGTTCACACCTGCATCCTCTTGGCCTGATTTCTGGACTAGGCTTTTGGCCTTAAGGACCTCTTTAAAGGATTCAGCGCTGCCTCTGTGTCTCGCCTGAACAGAGTGCTCTCCTGTTGGTGAAATACTTTTCTGTCACATTTTTCCTTTGCTCCCCAACACTGGGGAATGGGCAGGGCATATTGTGAGCATCATTTTGCAGATAAAGGAACTGAGATTTAAATAGAGAGTTTAAATGACTCTCAAATTAGCTTGGAGAACTGGGGCTAGAGCTATAAGAGGGCATTTACTCTAGATTGTAGAGTTTCCCAAACTCATTTTCCCAGAGAATCATTTCTGCAAACACCTATCAGTATTTGAAGGACGCCAGTTTTCCAAGAAACACAGTTTGGGGAATTCCATTCTAGTCCAATTTCCTCTTTTCATAGATCAGGCTTGGGAGAGTCCATTTCCAAGAGATAATTAAATAAAAGATACAAAAGGGATAGGAACTGGAATGCAGACTTACTCTGCCAAGTCTTTATAGGTTGCTGTATATGGTGAGAATTTTTGTATGCTTGTACTTTTGTAGTATTTACATCAGCCTGGCTCTTGGTGTCCCAGATGAGAGAGGAAAAGATGTATTTGAAGGTGTCAGTGCCCTTTAGCCAAAGACCACTGGAAGCATACTTGGTTAAATAAGTTGGGTTTATTACTCATTGTAGGGAACCATGGGGTACTCTCAGTGAGAGTGTGTTGGAAAGAACATATTATAGGATTTGGGCTTCAGTTGGCTGAGTTAGGGGAGAGTCTCAGGAAGCAGGAGTTTCGTCTAGACTGGATGCTGTCAGAAAGCGAGGACAATTCTATGATTGGGCATTTTGTGGGTGGCACAGTGACCTTGTTTTTGTTTGTGCTTAAACCAAATTATGAAGTGGTCTTGTTTCATTTTATCGTGATCTCAGAGTAACCTTGTTCGAGGCGGGTGTTCTGTGAGTTTGTTTATGTCCAAGAGGAGAACAAAAATGGCCTGGCTGTGAATGTCAGATGAGCTTATAAAAATATTGAAGTTTAGTTGTGAACATCAGATTAGTTTGGATATCAGAGGTTGTTTTTTTTCTTTTTCAGAGGTCATTATTCTTAATCATCTCAAATATTAAAGAGTAAAACAGATCTTTTTGTCTGAAGCCAAGGCTCATCCAAGGGAGCATAACCTTGTTCGGGGTGGGGTCTTAACTGCTGAGTCATAGGAAACAATTAAAGCAAAGAAACCTCACAAGCAGGTGGCCAACACTTTGTGAGTATATCAGATTCTTATTCCACATAATCTTCAATAGAATAAAAGAGAAAGAAACAGATCTTCCTGATTTGGGCCAAGAACACTCAAGAGGCACACTCACAGAATTGCATTAGAACGGAGAGGCGATAGTTGTGAACTCAAAACCTGGCTTATAGAGCAACACTTGCCATTGTCACACAACTGGTTAGTGTCAGATTTAGGACTAGAACTCAGGCCTCTGACCCCCAGTTCGGTGCTATTAAATCCCCAGTGCCTAGCACATGGCCTGGTACACAGCAGGCATCCAGGGAAGGGTTACTGAATGGATCAATGAATTCAGCACAGATATTTAGTTTGGAAATGGATTGGCCAAAGGTGACAGTGAAATCGGTCATCATTTAACTGACTGAATATGACTGGCCTCCCGACTTGCCCTGCCCCTGCCTGCCATTCTCAGCTTAGCCCTTCTGCCCAAGACGCTTAGTCTTCAAAAGGAAGCATAGGCTCAGGTAGTTCCTGTTTCTTCTACAGCCTCTGATCTGTGTCTGCGGCAGACCGAAGTTGCTTGTATTGGTTCTCCAGCAATAGGTCTCAGCAATACTCAGGAACCAACGAAAACCCTTTGAAGAGTCCTTTATGTAGAGAGGTAAATTTTCTGAATAAAAAAATGTTACAACATTCATTTTTCAACATCAATCAAATTGGCACTCATACATAGGAGTTGACATTATTCATAATGGCATCTAGAACCAATTGTTTTTCTCCCTTTCTGGCCCTTAATAAGTATGTTTTCCATGGAAACGATCAATCATATTTTAAATTACTTCAGAACTCATAAGATCTGATCATCATTCCTATACTTAATGCTGCACCCCCAATGCTTTTGAAGGATAATGGGACTGGAAGGGAAGTAAATATTTCCTTCTTACAGCAGTGTAGCTCATAATTAATTATCATCATCTCCTATTAATGAGATATCTTTGATCCTGCTAATTGATAATGAGACTATTTTCCTAAGCACAGAATAAAAGCAATATTAAACTGTTTAGTCTTTGTCCGCTTAATGGCCAAACATTAATCAAGTGAGTTTATAGGAACAATTAATCAAAAAGTTTAAATAACTGATTTTTTAATGATTTGCTGGCCACACTGGTTAAGAAAACCTCTTACTTAGCACATTGGCTTTCTCAATAGCAGAGAGGTAATTTTAGTGAGCTTGAAGGAACATTAGGGAAGGGGACTACAAGATAGAATGAACTATAGGGTCGTCATTATCATAACACAACCATGATGCTTTCACATAATTATTACTACTTCACAGAAGTCCTGTGAGGTGTAATTTTTATTCCCATTTTACAGATAAGGACCTCAGGGCTACAAGATGTTAGGAAATTCATCCAATGTAAGTGGTAGAACCAAAATTTAAATGCAAATTTTTGAACTCTAAATCCTATTCTGGGTTCAGCACTTTTTGCTATATCACTTAGCCTCGTAATCTGATTAATGTCAAAAGAAAATATGAAGTGCCTGCCAGTGGCCGAGGGGTTAAGTTCACGCGCTCTGCTTTGGCAGCCCAGGGTTTCACTGGTTCGGATCCTGGGCACGGACATGGCACCGCTCATCAGGCCATGCTGAGGTGGCGTCCCACATGCCACAACTAGAAGGACCCACAAGTAAAATATACAACTACGTATTGGGGGGATTTGGGGAGAAAAAGCAATAAAAAAAAAAAAGATTGGCAACGGTTGTTAGTTCAGGTGCCAATCTTTAAAAAAAAAAGAAAATATGAGCACTACTAGAATATGAACAGGTGAGTAGATAAATGCCCAGAATCAGTATAACTTGCCATCACAATTCTGAATATAATTATTACGCTTATACTTATATTCGAAAGACAATGTAACTTGTAGAGTTGATGGATTGGTACAATGTTCTTTGAGTTGAGTGACTGGATATTGTGAAGTAATACTTAGTGAATAGTTATTGTTTTGGACTCTACAAATACTCTTAACTATAGAATACTTAAGTAGATAGTTTTAGAAACAAGGAATGCACTGTTTTCCTCAAATTATTTCTTTTCCTCCTGGAATGCTATGTCTTTATTCTGCTTAGCAGCAGCAAAAAGAATTACACAAGAGCACAATTTGTTATGACATCATAAGAGACATGATCTAGTGTATAAAGGATGCTGCAGGGCCTTGCCTTTTTATAAATATATAGTCTAAACATCAACATAGAGGCAATAGCATGAAAACACCTAAATTAGGGATTGGCAAACTTTCTGTAAAGGGCCGGATAGTGAATATTTTAGGTGCTACGAGTCACATGGTCTTTTTTGCAGCTTCTCAACTCTGATGTTGTAGAGCTAAAGCAGTCATGGACCATCTAGAAACAAATGGGCATGGTTGTGTTCCAATAAAACTTTATTTATGCACACTGAAATTCATATTTCATATAATTTTCACGTTTCATGAAATATTATTCTTCTTTTGATTCTTTTTCAACCATTAAAAAGTGTATAAAAACCCACTCTTCACTCACAGGTTGTACAGAAATATGCAGCAGGCTGGATTTGGCCTGTGGGCCGCAGTTTGCAGACGCCTGGCCTAACTAGTACAGAAGGGCTGGAAGGGATGAAGAAGGAGATGTGGGTGGGATTGGGAGAAGGGAGAAGGACATTGGGATGCAAACAGACTTGACTTCAGGTTTAGAGGGGGAGGGAGGAGAAAGCTCTTCAGGGTGGGCCGGCACCTCTTCCCTGCCACAGTAATGAGCGATGCCTGTTGCCTTGAGGAATTGTTCTGAACAGATTCACTCCAAATGACTCGCTGGCTTGAACAAAGCTGGGGAAGATTTTCTGCCTTTTATTCAAAGGGAGTAATTGGCCCACCTGTGTCTCTTAAATTAAGATTTCCAGAGCTCAGGCCTTTAAGCCTCTTAACATGGTTTACTTCTTACACCTTTTATCAGCGTAGAATAGCTGCTTTTCTCATCTTTTCTTCTAAAACCCTGTTCCAAATGTACAAGTACTTTATCCACGTGATGTTTCGTGGCTATTTCTGGGTCTACGATCACAGAAACACAAAAAGTTATAGAAAATTTAAACGGCACTCTGTTAAGTGTTGTGGGCAGCAATTGACAAGACAGATAATCTGGAGTTTCAGAGATGTAATTTGAATTTCTTATCTGTCTTCCTCCCTGATCTTTTTTTTCTTTTTTACTGAGGAATACATTATATGTAGGAAAATTTATTCTTTTTTGTGTGTAGCTCTATGAAATTTGACAAATGCGTATAACCACCATGACATGTTACGTCTAACAGTTATGTAATTACCATGACAAGGAAGATATAGAACATTTCCATCAACCCAAAAATTTTCCTGGTGCCCTTTTGTAATTATTCTGTCCTCTAACCCCAGCCTCTGGTAAACACTGAGCTGGTTTCTGTCTCTATAGTTTTGCTTTTTCCAGAATGTTGTGTAAATGGACTCATACAGGATGTAGTCTTTTGGGTCTGGCTTCTTTCATCTGGCATAGTACATTTGATATTCATCCATGTTGTTGCATGTGTCAGTAGTTTGTTCCATTTTATTGCTAAGTAGATTTCACTGTATGAGTGCACCAGCTTGTTTATATATATTCTCCAATGGAGGATATTTGGGATCTTTCCAGCTTTTGGTGATTATGAATAAGGCCAACATAAACATTCATGTAAGTTTTTTGTGTGAACATAAGTTTGTATTGCTTTTAAGTAAATTCCTAGAAGTGGGGTTGCTGAGTGGTGTTAAGTGTATGTCTGACTTTATAAGAAACTGCCAAACTGTCTTCCACGCCATTTTGCATCCCCTCCAGCAGAGTATGAGAGTTCTAGTTGCTGGGCTTCCCTGCCAGTGCTTGGTACTGTCAGTTTTTGTTTTTCAATTTTGGCCATTCAGTAGGTGTATAATAGTATCTCATTGTGGCTTAATTTGCATATTCAAAGAACTAACAATGTTGAGCATCTTTTCATATGTTTATTTGCCACCCATGTATCTTCTTCAGGGAAGTGTCAGTTCAAATTCTTGGCCCATTTTTAATTGGGCTGTTTGTTTTCTTACTATTGAGTTTTAAGAGGTGTTTTTTATACTCTGGGAACAAGTCCTTTATCAGATACATGTTTTAGAAATATTTTCTCCCAATCTGTGGCTTGTCTTTTCATTTTCTTAACAGCATCTTTTGCAGAGCAAAAAAAATTTAATTTTGATGAAGTTCAATGACACCCCAGTAGCAAGGAGCATACATAGTGCCCAAATCTTGGTTTTAAAATACCATTCTCCAATAAAAGGAATCAGGACTCCTTAGAGAAATAACTGATTCCAGGACCAGGGCAGGGAAAATACAGGAAAAACCTGAAACATCTTGTAGTGTCAGAAATAAAAGTGCTAAAAAATCATGGGGATGTGTTGAAAGGACACAGAAGTCAACTTGAAGGAGCTCTCAATGGCCAAATTTTGGAAAATATGAGCAAGGAAACAAATAATGCTAGTAACGGATTATAATCTGTAGAATAAGATAAATATCCTTGAATCCATACTGGTATAAATAAATAATTGAATAAAACAATAAATGAAGGAGAAAGAAAAGATTTTTTGATAGAATTTCAATAATAAATATAGAAAGAATGATGGAAATAGAAAGACACTATTTAGCAAAAGCTACAGTAATAATTTTTTTAGGCAAGAATCATTAATGGATGTTAAAATTAATGGATAAAATTTTAAGCAGAAATGTGATATTTGCATAGCTTAAATGTATCTGTCCCCAAATATTTAGTAATTCAAAGGGAAAAATAGTAACTTTACAGTGGAGAATCCTGGCAGACACCACCTTAACCAAGTTAACCTTGTTGGTAATGTGGTTAATTGACATCATGTGTCTCCTGATATGATGCACTGGGAAGGGCACAACATCACTTCTGTGGTTTTCTTGCCAAAAATGCATAACCTGAATTTAACCATGAAGAACCATCATTCAAACTCAAATTAAGGAAGTGATATAATGTAATTGGCCAGTGCTTTTCAAAGATGTCAAAATCATGAAAGACAAAGATTGATAAACCATCTCAGACTGGAGAAGACTAAGGAGTCATGGCAACTAAATGTAATGCAGGATCCTGGATGGGATCCTGGCCCAGAAAAAGGACCTTAGTGGGACAACAACAAAATAATAAAATCTGAAAGAATTCTGTAGTTTAGTTAATAGTATTATACCAATGTTAATTTTTTAGTTTTGACAAATAGTACCATGGTTAAATAAGATGTGACATTAGGCAAAGAAAGCTAGATGAAAGGTATATGAGAACTCTCTGTGTTATCTTTGCAACTTTCTGTAAATCTAAAATTATTTAGAAATAAAATGTAAAAAAAAAAACCCCAAACTGGAAAAATAAGCCAAAAACTTTAAAAAGGGCTACACGTAGGAAGAAGGAGGAAACCTGGTAAAGGAGATAGGGATAGAAATTGGGCTTTCTGATATATCATGTTTTGTAGATTTAACTTTGGAATCGTGTAAATATTTTATATGTATATAAATCATGTATGTATTTTATATAACTCTAAACAAAATTAAATTGAAAAAGCTTTCCTAAAAGTAAAAAACAAAATAAAATAAATCTAAAGCTATAGGTATAGTAAGTTTGTGGCAAAAGTACAGAGAGAAGAAATATTTCAAATGACTTTAAACCACAGTAAATTTTTGTTTTGTTTTGTTTTGTTTTGTTTTTTGCTTGAGGAAGATTGTCACTGAGCTAACATCTGTGCCAATCTTCCTCTATTTTGTGTGTGGGATGCCGCCACAGCATGGCTTGGTGAGCAGTAAGTAGGTCCATGCCTGGGATCCCAACCTGCAAAACCCGGGCCACTGAAGCAGAGCCTGTGAACTTAATCACTATGCCACCAGGCCGGCCCCTAAACTGCACTAATTTGACTGTACATTCCTTGTAAGATACATCCTATGGACACAAAAAGCTAAAAAATTCAGTTGTATCTTATGGGCCAGAACTGGGTCATACAGCAACCCAAAGCTGCAAGGGAGAGCATTTGACTTTCCATTCTCTGTAGTGTGTGGCAGCAAGGGAGGATGGGGCTGGGAATGACTTTGGGATAGCCAATCAGCAGTGCCAGCCATTGGTATCTACGGGGCCACTTCCTCTCTATTTCCACTTACCTTAGATTGGGGTAGGTAAAATCTTTTCCCGATAGCAGATGAAATGGTGGTGGCAGCAATGCTTCTGCCTCAAGTATTCTGCTGACTTACTGAGGTTGGGTTGCTGCCATGACAGAGTTGGGCAGCAAATCTGGAACCATCTCTCCTCTGACCAATGGAGGAGAAATTCCAAGTTTGTTATCAATGGTTACTAATCTCTCATCTCCAGGCTAGAGTGGAGCACTGCTTCTATCACTTATTTTTATGCGGAAGAAAATGGTAACCATGCTTAGAGATTCTTGCATTTTATAGCAAGACTTGTGATTTTAAAAGAAAGAGTAATGGAAGCCTAAAGTCTGGAAAGAT